AGAGTATAAAACAGGGATTAAAAATAATTTGGGGGTAAAAGGAGTGGGTCATAAATACCTCCCAGGGAAGGTGACATTTATACTAGGCCATGAATGACGTAAGATTTTAACAGGCATTCATGGGGGTGGGGCAGGCATTCCAGGCTTAGGGAACAATAGGAGCAAAATATATATATATATATACACACACACACACACACACACCCATTTCCTGGGGTCTAACCAAAAAAATGGATGGGATGAGTATGAGAGGCTGGGGATATTTGCTTTATGGGATTTGGGTGTGGGACTAGGGTACAATGAAGACCAAGAACAAGAGGAGCAAAAATAAGGAGGCAAAATAGTGCATACGTGGAGAATAGCTCATGGTACATCCTGACTAAAGCGTAAAATCAGGAGCTGGGATAGACCTATGGGGCAGAAGAGCACCAGATGATGAGCCTGAAAATTAGGTCAGGGGCAAGTCAGAGAGGACTTTCAATGCCATATAAGAGTTAAAGCTTTATTTCTAGGCCACAGGGAGCTCCAAAGGCTAGAAAAATGACACAATCAGAGCTGTTATTTAGGCAATTTACTTTGGAACCAGTATAAAGGAACCATTTATGTAATTATTCAAGCAGGCCTTTGCTATGTGCCAGGCACAGGGCTGGGTGTTAAGGATACGGCAATGACTTACACAGTCTGTGCTCTGAAGAACTTGAACTTTAATCTGCTACAGGATGGATTTGAAGGAGGAGAGACAGGAATCTGGGAGAGCAATTGGAAAGGAAATCTGGTTGGATCTGCTTTCAAAATACATCACCTTCCCTACTATTACCACCACTCCGGCCCCTACCAGCTCTCAGCTCTCACTTGGACTTTAAGAGAGGCCTCCTAACTGGGCCCCTGTTCCACCCTCGTCTGCCCTGTAGCAACCACACCACACCTACTCAGCACCCACGGTAGCCCTTTTAAAAATGCAGTCTCATCATGCCCACTCCTGTGGTTTTTTTCTTGCTTTTTTGTTGTTGTTGTTGTTGTTGTTTGTTTTGTTTGTTTGTTTGTTTGTTTTGAGGCAGAGTATTGCTCTGTCGCCCAGGCTGGAGTGCAGTGGTGTGATCTCGGCTCACTGCAACCTCCACCTCCCTGGTTCAAGTGATTCTCCTGCCTCAACCTCCTGAGTAGCTGGGATTACAGGGGTGAGCCACCATGCCTGGCTAATTTTTGTATTTTTAGTAGAGACGGGATTTCACCATGTTGGCCAGGCTGGTGTCGAACTTCCGACCTCAGGGGATCCGCCCACCTTGGCCTCCCAAAGTGTTGGGATTACAGGTGTGAACCACCACACCCGACCTTAACTCCTGTTCTCAGCCCTCCTGTAGCTGCCCGTCATGCTAAGAATCAAATCTAGAGTCTGTGTCATGGTCAAGTGGCTCATAACATGATCCCTGCCTTCTTTTCTCACCTGATCTTCCACTGTCCCTTCAAACACCCATTGCAGCCACACTTGCTTCCTTGCTATTCCTTGAACACATCAAACCCGGTCACAGGGCTTTTCTACCTGCTATTGTAGTCACCTGGAAGGTTCTTCCCCCAGTTTTCCAAAGGGTTTGCTCCATCTCTTCATTCGAGAGAGGTTTTTCCTAACCAGTAACCCCATATAAAAAGCTTTAGTTTTCTTTAAAGAACTTATTATCTGACACATTACATATTTATTTTCTGGGCCCCTCACCAGAATGTAAATTTAATCAAGGTAGAGATCATACTTTATTGACTGATATATCTGATATATCACTAGAGGCCATCACAGTGTCTAGCTCAGATTCAGATGGGTTCTCAACAAATATTTGTTGAATGAACAAAGGAAGCTATTGCCATAGCCCAAAAAAGCTCAGAATGAAGCAGTGGGGAGGAAGAGAAAGAATTCAGGGATCTTTCTATATGAAGGGATCACACCCTGCTGCCTGCTTTTCCCTGACTGCCTCTTTCCAAGGAAACTAAGCTAGGGGGAGGGAGGCAATGGCAGGCAAGAGACATTTTTAAGCCCCTTGGTTATAGAGGAGACTGCAAGAGATAAATTGTTCTTTCAGCTTTGCTCCGGTGAGGTCTCCCTGCCTCCGTCTGCTCACTGATTTCTGCGCCTTTTTCACCTTCCCTTTGGCTGAGTGCTGGCAGCGTTGGTTTGACTTGCAGTGTTAGGCGCCTGCTTAGAAAGTCTGTTTAGTTCAAAGAGTTATTAAGCATTTGCCATGTGCTAAGCATTATGATAGGCACAGAGGAGACAGGGAAAGAGAGACCCCAGCTAAGGAGCTGAAATCTAGGGTGGGAAGGCAGACAAATTGGACCATTTTCCTGCAATGTGGTAAGTGCTACACAGAGGAAAGCCCAAAAGAAGGACCTTAATCCAGATGGGGGGAGTTAGGGAAGTAGTCTTAGGAGAGGTGACACTAGAGGGTAAGAATTAGGAACAGGAAGAGGGAAACAACATGCACAAAGGCAGAGGCATGTGACCGCATACAACAAGAGTCACAGACAGTCACTCTTATAAAAGCATGAAGTGCACATTAGAGTCTTTGATAAGGTTCATTCTAGAAGTATCGGGAACACAAATTGAGGGCTTCACCCAGAAAACATTCACCTGTCCCCCACCCACTCTCGCTTCCCTCCAGTGTCCTGAACACACTCGTACTTCTACCAGTGGGATTTGGCTGGTTCCAAAGTGCCAAGTACATAAGGGGAAGGCAAGGAGGGTTGGTCCTAGCCTAGGAAGAATGAGTAGACTTCTTTGCTCTGAGGAGAGCTGAAGTATTGACCCTCCCTTCCCCATTAACCCATATCCAGCTGCCACCCAAGGGGAAGCTTCGGAGCCTGTGTAGCCAGCACGTGGAAAGGCTGCAGATCTTCCAGCACCTCCACCCCATCGTGGTCCAAGCCGCTTTCCCTCCACTCTACAAGGAGCTCTTCAGCACTGAAACCGAGTCACCTGTGGGGCTGTCCAAGTGACCTGGAAGAGGGACTCCTTACCTCTCCCTATGGCCTGCTGGCCCACCTCCCTGGACCCCGTTCCACCCTCGGCCTTTTTGTTTCCCATGAACCCTGGAGGGTGGTCCCCACCAGCTCTTTGGGAGTGAGCAGATGCTGCGATTGGCTTTCTGTCCGCAGGCTGGCCTGGCAGTGGGACAATCGCCAGAGGGTGGGGCTGGCAGAACGCCATCTCCAGCCTCAGCTTTGACCTGTCTCATTTCCCATATTCCTTCACACCCAGCTTCTGGAAGGCATGCGGTAGCTGGGATATAAGGACTTCTGGGGGACCAAGCCATCCTCAAGAAAACAGGGGCATCCAGGGCTCCCTGGATGAAGAGAATGCAACTCATTCAGAAGCTCAGAAGCTAAGAATAAGCCTTTGAAATACCTCATTGCATTTCCCTTTGGGCTTCGGCTGAGGGAGATGGATCAAGCTCAGAGACTGGCATTGAGAGCCCAGAAGGACCCGTATAAAATGAATCTGGAGCTTTACATTCTCTGCCTCTACCTTCCTCCCAGCTCAACAAGGAAGTGTTTGGGCACCCTACCCTTTTCCTGGGGTCTAACCAAAAATGGATGGGATGAGGATGAGAGGCTGGAGATAATTGTTTTATGGGATTTGGGTGTGGGACTAGGGTACAATGAAGGCCAAGAGCATCTCAGATATAGAGTTAAAACTCAAACCTCTTATGTGCACTTTAAAAATACACTTTAGGGGCTGGCACAAATCTGATTAGAGACACATATCCATACACAGGGGAAACACACATAGACTCAACAGCAGCCATGCAGTTCCAGAGACACATGAACCTGACACAATCTCTCTCATCCGTGAGGCCACAGCTTGGAGGAGCCTAGTGGCCTCGGGAAAAGTCCCAATCCTGAGGGACCCCCCAGAGATTTCCATGGTGCTCTGGTCCACTGATCTTGGGCCTGGGGTGATCCAAACACCACCCCAGCTCCAGCTGTCTTCTACCACTAGAAGCGCCAAGAGAAGCAGAGGTGGCTGGCACTGGTCAGTCGGAAGGCACGATCAGACCTTGGAGGACTTTGCTGGCCTGCCTGCTAGCCCTGCTCTTGTTGTGGAGAAGGAAGCAGATGCGATTGCATCACCCTGTCATTGGGCACCGCTGACTCCAACATGGAGGACACCAGGGAGCAGGGCCTGGGCCTGTTTCCCCAGCTGTGATCTTGCCCAGAACCTCTCTTGGCTTCATAAACAGCTGTGAACCCTCCCCTGAGGGATTAACAGCAATGATGGGCGGTTGGGAGGTTGGGGGTGGATTGTGTCCTCTAAGGGGACAGGTTTATCTGAGTAAACATAAACCCCAACTTGTGCCATTCTTTATAAAATGATTTTAAAGGCAAGAGGCGTGTGTGTCAGCGGGTAGAGGAGATCCTTAAATTAGATTACCTGCATGCCTGCTCTCCAGTCTCATTCCTGGGTCAAGACTCAGATTTCCAGCTCAGCAATCCATCAGCATTATACAGATCCAACCCACCCTCACCCCACCCATGCAGTTTCTCCCAGGTGGAGCAGTCCCTCAGTGAGGACTGTGAATGAATCCTCAGGAACCCCCACTATAGGAGCCTCAAACTGAGCTCCACGGGAGATGCTGTAGACTGAGAACTTCCCATAAATGATACCCACAGGGAACGTTTAGATTTAGAGGTTGCACAGAATTGCTCCACATCTGGGAGACCAAAAGACAATCCTCTGGAAGGTGTCTGGCCTGAGCTCCCCTGCGGGGAAATCAGGATGTCAGAGAGATCCTCTAGAGCCTGCTGCTCTTGCTATTGCATGACCCCTCCCTGGCACCAGAGCCTCCCTCCTGGATCCCTCCCCTGTCACTCGCCAGCCTGTAGTGGTGCTTGCTGCAGCCCTCCCTGGTTGCTTTATTTATTTATTTTGCACCAACAGGGTTGCTGCAGACTCATTCTTGCCTGGTTTAAAAAGAGAGAGAGAGGAAAAAAAAAAAAAAAAAAAGGAGAAATGCTTTCTGGCTCTTTTCTCCACCTCAGTCTTGGCAGCAGCGGCCGCAGCAGCAACAGCAGCAGCAGCAGCGGCAGGCAGCAGCCGGGCAGCCAGGCAGCGGGGGTTGAGGCACACAGGGAAGGTGCAGGGGCCTGAGGTGCAGCTCGAATGGGACAGGGCCCCCAGCGCTGGACAGATGCAGTGCCAAACTTGATGCCACCTTCCAGCTTCTCCGGTAAGTGCCCGCACCCTCTGTCCCGAAGATGCAGCTGCCCTTTTCCATAACATTCTCAGAGACAGGCCAGACTAGTGTGCCCCTCAAGGCAAGAGGGTTTGGGCCCCCACCCTGCCAACAATTAATCCTGGCCCCATGGGACTTTGAGGGGGAAACTCAAATATCCCAAGTACCCCTGAGTGGAAGAGCTCCAAGGAGACCTCCCTTCCATCTCCCCAGTGCTCCCCTTCCTCTGGAAGGGTTTTTCTCCACAGCCAGTGTGGATCTTCCAGAAATATTTCCCCCAGGAACCCTCTCCCCACACAGTTCCCAGTCGTCAGTGAGGTGTGCTTTAAACAGGATACAGGATACCCAGGTTCAAAAGTGTCTCTGGACTGCCACACAAAGAAGAAAGCTCCCTACCCTTGAGGGGGTGATGCCCTCAAGAGTCATGTCTTGGTGATGTCCCCACCCCACTGAAGGGACAAAAAAGTGGTTCTGACATCTCTCTTCCTGCAAAGTGGCCGGAAGCCAGTCCTGCAGCCATGGAGGTTGACGAGGGAAGTTTGTGATTAAATTAGCCACCTTAGAAATAAAATAGGTTGCTCCATCTCCCTCAGCCCCTGGCCCAGCAGGCTTTGGGACTCAGGGGAAACTCACCGGAGCAGGAAGGAAGAAAGCTGGGTTACATGCTTCACTGCACTTTTGCTGAATGCAGAGCAGAGGATGGGCAGGAACTGCAGCAGCAGTGATGAAGAGCTAGCTGTCAGGTGGACTTCCCAGAACAAGCCCAGGGAGAACAAGGGAGGCTGGGCCATCTTTCCCAGGAGAGCTCCGGGCATGCCACAGAGACCTGTTAGGTCAGGATGGGGCGAGAGGAGTCTGCTCTGCAGTCTTTGCCCCACGTTATTCTTTCTCATCCCCAAGCCTCAGACCAGTTTTCTGCATCCTTCTGCTCTTTTGGCCTCTTTCTTTAGTTTTCCAACTAGGACAATCCTGTGAAGTGGCTGTAGGATAACCACTAGAATGATCCTTCCAAGGGGTGGAGAGTGGGAAGGAAAGGGGAAGAAATGACCATCTCTTAAACTGCCTCTCCTAAGTTCCACATGAGAAAAAATAGGGCATGTAGTAGAAAGCTGACCCTGTAGAGCTCAGAGAGCCTGAAGCCCTCAAGCCCAAAGGTGATCAGGATTGCTGCTCAGCAGAGACTCAGACACCCTGTCTCTGAGAGAGCATCCGTGGGATTTTGCTCCTATCTCTGTAGACATCCCTTGCCAATTCCAGTACTTCCCCTCCCTTGGGGTCCCTGTTGACATCGAACAGGGTGAGTCAGGGGCCCTCACCACCTAGAGGGCCCCTTCTCCTCTGTCACCTCAGCCATTGTAGTCAACATCTTCCTGAGAGTTCCCAGATCCTGTAACCCAGAAACTGACTATAAGTCTAAAGGTTCTGCACGCTGCCTGTGCCCAGATATCTGCTGTGCCAACTGAGGGCTCCCTTCCTCCCCACCCTACAGTGCTCTGTCAGATGCTGTCTCTCCTCACTTATCTATGCTCCCTGGTTCACAATCTGTCTCTTGGGAATTTCTCAGGCAGCTCAGGCCAAAAGGGACAAGAGCTCTCCCTCAGATCCACACACTGGACCAGAATCCAAACACCATTAAGGAGGGATATGAGGGAAGCCCAAGACTGAAGACCAAGCAACAGAACTCAAAACCTGGGCATCCTTTGGGTCTCTCACACACCCCAGCTTCATCTGTAGTGGAGAAGCAGTTGCCCTTGGGCTCTTGCAGGGGATTCCCAGCTTCCCAGTCAAGTGCCCCCTGCATCCTATGCCACAGCTAACGTACAGCTTGGCCATTGTCCACACAGGCATTTTGGGGAGATTGGATCTTGCTAGTCCAGGGCTCAGGCCCTGGGCCAGGCTGGAGAAGGGCTCAGCATGGGGGTGGAGCTGAGGCCTGCATGTTTCCCAGCCTTGGGTGAGCTAGTCAAGGTGAGGACCTCTCCAGTCAGGACAGGGAACTCTGGGCCAAGGACATGATCTCCCTGAGCCTTAGGCAAAGCTATGGGTACATAACATGAAAGAATAAGGGCGAGCAGAGAGGGACAGAGCAGAGCTTGGGGAGAGTAGATATCAGGTAGAAGGGACCTGAGATACTCCTGGATCTCACAGACATCGGGAAACCCCAACTAAGTCAGAAAGACTTAGTTACCTCCCTGCTATTCCCTGACCCACTCCCATAAGTCTTTACCCCACAGAAATCAGGCTTGGCTAGGGTTCTATGAGCCAGTAAGCACTTGACTGGTTATCCAGGGCTGGAAGAGGGAAGAAAGCAGAGATTCCCCAAAGAGAAGCTCCAGGAAGCCCCAGGGAGGTGGCACACAATAATTCTTCCTGGTTCTGTGCCCTACTTGTTGGCAATGCTGAGACAGATAGCTCAATTTCTCTCCCCTCTAAGAAGGGCCAGGAAGTCCAGGGTCACCATCATCTGAAGCCACTTTCCAAAAAGGGTCATGTCATCATCTGTTCCAGGACTGAAGAGGGAATGGATGCGGCCACAGCTCCAAAGCAAGCCTGGCCCCCATGGCCCCCACTCCTTTTCCTCCTCCTCCTAACTGGAGGGAGTGGTGGCAGCTGCCCTGCTGTGTGTGACTGCACCTCCCAGCCCCAGGCTGTGCTCTGTGGCCACAGGCAACTGGAGGCTGTACCTGGAGGACTCCCACTGGACACTGAGCTCCTGGACCTGAGCGGGAATCGCCTGTGGGGACTCCAGCGGGGAATGCTCTCCCGCCTGAGCCTGCTCCAGGAATTGGATCTCAGCTACAACCAGCTCTCCACCCTTGAGCCCGGGGCCTTCCATGGCCTACAAAGCCTACTCACCCTGAGGCTGCAGGGCAATCGGCTCAGAATCATGGGGCCTGGGGTCTTCTCAGGCCTCTCTGCCCTGACCCTGCTGGACCTCCGCCTCAACCAAATTGTCCTCTTCCTAGATGGAGCTTTTGGGGAGCTAGGCAGCCTCCAGAAGCTGGAGGTTGGGGACAACCACCTGGTATTTGTGGCTCCAGGGGCCTTTGCAGGGCTGGCCAAGCTGAGCACCCTCACCCTGGAGCGCTGCAACCTCAGCACAGTGCCTGGCCTAGCCCTCGCCCGTCTCCCAGCACTAGTGGCCCTAAGGCTTCGAGAATTGGATATTGGGAGGCTGCCAGCTGGGGCCCTGCGGGGGCTGGGGCAGCTCAAGGAGCTGGAGATCCACCACTGGCCATCTCTGGAGGCTCTGGACCCTGGGAGCCTCGTTGGGCTTAATCTTAGCAGCCTGGCCATCACCCGCTGCAATCTGAGCTCGGTGCCCTTCCAAGCACTACACCACCTGAGCTTTCTCAGGGTCCTGGATCTGTCTCAGAATCCCATCTCAGCCATCCCAGCCCGAAGGCTCAGCCCCCTGGTGCGGCTCCAGGAGCTACGCCTGTCAGGGGCATGCCTCACCTCCATTGCTGCCCATGCCTTCCATGGCTTGACTGCCTTCCACCTCCTGGATGTGGCAGATAACGCCCTTCAGACACTAGAGGAAACAGCCTTCCCTTCCCCAGACAAACTGGTCACCCTGAGGCTATCTGGCAACCCCCTAACCTGTGACTGCCGCCTCCTTTGGCTGCTCCGGCTCCGCCGCCGCCTGGACTTTGGCACTTCCCCGCCTGCCTGTGCTGGCCCCCAGCATGTTCAGGGGAAGAGCCTGAGGGAGTTTTCAGACATACTGCCTCCGGGGCACTTCACCTGCAAACCAGCCCTGATCCGAAAGTCGGGGCCTCGATGGGTCATTGCAGAGGAGGGCGGGCATGCAGTTTTCTCCTGCTCTGGAGATGGAGACCCAGCCCCCACCGTCTCCTGGATGAGGCCTCATGGGGCTTGGCTGGGCAGGGCTGGGAGAGTAAGGGTCCTAGAGGATGGGACACTGGAGATCCGTTCAGTGCAGCTACGGGACAGAGGGGCCTATGTCTGTGTGGTCAGCAATGTTGCTGGGAATGACTCCCTGAGGACCTGGCTGGAAGTCATCCAGGTGGAACCACCAAACGGCACACTTTCTGACCCCAACATCACCGTGCCAGGGATCCCAGGGCCTTTTTTTCTGGATAGCAGAGGTGTGGCCATGGTGCTGGCAGTCGGCTTCCTCCCCTTCCTCACCTCAGTGACCCTCTGCTTTGGCCTGATTGCCCTTTGGAGCAAGGGCAAAGGTCGGGTCAAACATCACATGACCTTTGACTTTGTGGCACCTCGGCCCTCTGGGGATAGAAACTCTGGGGGTAACCGGGTCACTGCCAAGCTCTTCTGACCTTTCCTTCCCCAGTGGGGAACCCACCAAGTCCACTTCAGATACCAAAGGGGAAGACAACCAAGGCTGCTTGAACCAGAACCTGGTCCTGAGCAGCACCGCTCTCCCGCACCTCCCGTCTGCGTTGTGCCAGCAACTAGCGATGCCTCCTGCCAGAGAGTCTGCCTCCTGAGCTTTTCCAGTCTGATGATAGCATTGTCATTTCTTCTCTGAGGGTCCCAGGGAGCTGCAGATACAGACCCCATCGTTAGTCCAGCCCTCCCTTCGTCCCCTCCACACACAAAACAGGAAACATAAAGCTCTAGTCAGCTAGTTTAACCACTAGGCTTTCTTCACACACGCCTATATCCTTTAATAACCAATTGCCAACCACAGCTATAAGATTATTTCAGAGGTGGGGCTGGGAAGTGCCACTTGCTCCTTGGAGTCTCTGTTTGTCAACCTGGCAGAGTCCCTTTCTTTTCTGCTCCCCACCCCAACCCTGTCCCTAGGTACAGGATTAAGAGCAAAGGACCCTCAAGCCACAGAGAAGAGGATGGGGACAGAGTGTGGGATGGGGAGGACAGACCACACACTGCACTGTGTTTGCATGAGCCTCTACCACCTTCCTCTGTCTGCCAGATCATTAAACCTGCTGTCAAAGGGCCACAACAGTAGCAGCCAAAGCTAAATGTCATATCTGGAGTTTTCTTTATTTCAGTCTATTTCCTACCCTCATTTCTGTTATATCTCCCCACTCCTTCTCTTTCTGCTTGCCCATTGATCATGTGTCCCAATGGCCTTGCCTCCATCTAACCTGCCTGACAAACAGGGTAAGGAGTGCCCCTCCCACCTCCACTCTCCTCACCCCCCTACACCCCCACCCCCATGCCTGGAGGGATCAGCACTCCTAGCCCTGGTTTCAGCCTCAATCCTTTCCTTTTCACTCCCCATCTCTGGAACTGGAGAAGGAGTGATCCTCCACCTTCCAGGGGTTCCCTACATAGAAATTCCACCTGAGACACCCAGCTGCTGCCCCTCTTTCCCATTTCTCCATGGCAGCTCCCATCATTTTTGTGTCACAGATCCCTAGTGCCCTTGGGGAAAAGTCAGAACTCCAAAATAATGACTAACAAACGCAAGAATCCGCAGTTGTCAAAGGAGAGAGACCCAGGACACTGCAGAGACTAGGCTTGGAGGAACAGGGAGGAGGGCACAGCAGGCCGTAGTGAGAAGTGAAGGGAAGGGGGAGCAGCAGTAACTGCCTGCCTAGTTAATTTCCACCATCCTTCTGCAGCTTCCTCTGGTTCTGTGATTAGTGCAGCCCCAGTGGGAAGCTGTCTCCGGGTAGAGGTCACTGATTTACAGAGACCCCCAGATGGGGAGGTGGAGTGGGAGGTGAAACTGCTGAGTACCACTGACTGTGCTTCAAATAGAGGGCAAAGCAGAGCCCAAAAAGAAGTAGAGATGCTGGAAGCTCAAAGTACAGAGCAACGGCCTCAGCATGACTGGAAGGGAGGAGTGACAGGGAGAGGAGAGGAGTGGGAGGAGGGACTGAGAAGGGAAGAATCACGTGGCCCCAGGGAGCCTTTCTCTGCAGCAGCATCTGCCCAGCGTCCTTAGTTTCCTCCCACCCACCACTACACCAAACCAGATGCAAGCATTGTGAGCTTTCTAGTTGATTCCTGCTGCTGTTGTCCTTGCTCTGAGGAGACTCCACTCATTAGAAGATTCCCAGCTCAAACTGCCTGACAGGTGAGACACTCAGCACCACTGAGGAAGTGAAGCTGGACTTCACAGGCAGGCCGCTCTTTAGTGGGGCAGAGATAGGAATATGGGGGTAGGACCAGAGGTGAATGTGAGAACCAGGCAGACAGGAGAGTGAGGCTGGAGAAACTGACCTGCTTGAGAAATGAGTTTCCCTGAGCCTGCAACCTCCCACCCACCATGCACACACAACTCAGTTAGCATCCCAGCAACTTCCCCTTCTTTAGTGTATAATGTACCAGATAGATTTCCTGGGGCACAGCCCTCCCCCTCCTTTCCATAACCTTCCACCAGCAGCTTATTAGGTTGGGACTTGGGAGTCAGACGCTGAAGGTTCTCACTCTAGTTGCCCTCTCTGCAATGCGGAAGCAGCAATGCTGTTCAGAGAAATCTTCTCTGGGAAGCCCCTGACGCAGTGGGGAACAGATGACTGTCTGGCGCTGGGACATGCTGCTGCCCAAAGTCTCTGAAGTCTCAAAGACTCCAGAACAGAGCTACCCAACAGACGTAGAATCTAAGTCACATATGTAATTTCAAATTTTCTAGTAGCTACTACATTAAAAAATCAAAACGAAACAGATACATTTAATTTTAATACTTATTTTATTTAACACAATATACCCAAACTATTATCATTTCAATATATTATCAATACAAAAATCAATCATAAAATATTTAACATTTTTTCATATTAGGTCTTTAAAATCCATGTATTTTTTACACTTATAGTACATCTCAACATTGCAATTCAGTTACTAAATTTTCACCAGAAAAATCCATATTTAGATTTCATACAGGTCACTGTTGAGAAAGTAGATTCACACATCTAAGTTTTTCCAAACATAAAACATTTTCTGATAACTGAATCAAATATGTTTTAAATTTTAAATTAAAATTAAATAAATTTAAAATTCCATTCCCCAGCTGTACCACCTACCTTTACAAGCATTCAATAGCCACATGTGGCCAATGGCTACCATACTGGACAGCAAAGCTTCAGACATCACGACCTGGGGCATAGACTAAGGTCTCCTCAGCAGTGGTGGGTGGACAAAGTATCCCTCAAGAAACACATTTAATCTCAAGGAAATGCCTATGGAGTTAGTCCCACCACAGCCCCTTTGTCTCCTTTCACAGCTTTTCCAGAATACTTTTGAGGGGTGAAGCACATTCATGTAACAAGCTTACTATGATGAGTATTTCCACAGCTTGTCCAAGCGTTAGCATGCCAGTCCCTCATCTTACCTGTTGGGAAGACTGCCCTCAGCTCAGCTGTGACAGCACAGGCTGCTGTGTGTGTGCTGATGAGTGTGCAAATGCAGCCAAGGACACGAGTGGGTGTTGTGTGCAGAAGTTTTGTGGACCATGTGCAGGGATGTATGGTGCCACACCATGGGGACAATCTAATGGAGGTTCTGCCCAGGGCGGGACAGCAGTTCAAAGAGAAGAACTGCATTTATTGAGGGCCTATTCTATGTCAGTGGCTTTATATATATTTTCTTATGTAATCCTTATGTCAACCCTATAAAGTAGGGAGGCATCTTAGCTGATGAAACTAAAGGTCAAATAGAGTAAAGTGCGCAAAGCTAGTTAGTAAATAGTACCTAGCTATTTGAGCTCACGGCTGTCTGACTGAAAACTCCCCCTTTCCACCACACTGCCATCCTCACTGCCACGCCCTCACGACTCTCTCTCCCAGGGCCTTTCAGTTGCAGGACATGACCTGTAAGAAAGGGGAAATTTTCCAACCCATCCACTCTGAACTTTCAGGGGGGACTGGGCTCAGTTATTGGTCCTCACCTTCTTCATTAACTCAAATGCACCTGATTCAGGAGGTTGGGGTTTTTCTTTGTTTTCACTCTTTCCTCTCTCCGAATGTCCTTACAGCCTCTGCCTCAGGGACTGGTAGAAAGGAGCAGAAATTCCAGGGAGCAAATGGACTGCAGTGAAATGCCTGGCTTCCAGCAAAGGATTCTCTGAAATGGAGGCTTCAGATTTCCTAGTTCTTTTCTGGGTTCTAACCTCAACAACCTCCGAGGTTAGAGAGAGGTTGCACAGATTGGTGGAACAATCTGTGAGCTATTTCAGATTGGAGAAGAATTTGACTCTGCCTACTTTCCGCCCATCCCTGCTTGACAGAACCTTTCTGAGGGTATTCCATCCTGCCCTCCTTCCACCCCTCTCTCTTCCATCTCAGACATGGTCTCACCTAAGCTGAGCGAGAACTCTGGACCCAAAGATCCTGTGGCACCATCTCAGCACTCCACATTTCGGTCCCCGATACAATCTTTCTCTATTTCCGATTTCTATTTCCTGTGCTGTGCTGGATCCCTGATTCAGGAGATGAGAGCCCAGCTAAGCAATGATCCTCAACTTTTTTGAGTCACAGACCCCTCTGAGAATTCCTGATGTAAGCTATGAACAAAAATGTTTGTAAATTGTCCAGTTATTCTGAAGCTATCACAGACTCCACAGAATATAGGTTAAGAAATTCTGCTATAAGAAGCCACAGGTTGCAGGGGAAACTCTGAGGCCTCAGGCCACCTTTGCTCCCCAGGGTCCATTAGAGGCAAAGAGAAAAGGCTGAGAAGGACTACAGTTCAAAGTGGATGTTAGCACAGGTAAGAGCAGGTATTAGAATGAGCCCAGCAAGAAAACACACAAAAATGCTCCAGCATTCTCTCCACCCCTGTCCCCTTCTCCCACCAGCACCCATTTGAGGGAGACTTTGGGTGGAACTCTTGCTGTAAGAAGTCAGTACGGTGGTGACTCAGGCTGGAGAGCATCTGAACCCAGGGACTCCTGGGTCCTGTTCCTCCAAATTGCTTCATAAGGGGAATTAAGTAGGAAGATACAGCTGGGTGGTGGTGGTCAGAGAGGCTGAGGAGAATTCTCTCCTAGGGCATCTGCCACAATTCAATCCGGTCTAAAGACGGAATAGTAGCACCAGCATAAGTGAGGACACTGAGGCTCATGCTCCCGGTCACTGTGGTTAAGAGGCTTAAGTGGGGAGGAGGGGGGTGACTCCTACGATGGGCAACAGGAGAGATGAGTGCTGTTTTTGAGACTCAAATAGCTGAATGGCACTTGAATGGATCATTCGTATGTTGTACAGGGAGGGAACTCTGTGGGCAGCCAAGGCTCTGGAGCCAGGCTCCTTGTATTTCAGAGCCCCCGTCACTGCCCAGATCCCTAGCTAAGATCTACTTTCCTGCTTCAGTTTATTAAAGGGAACACCTGCTCACTGAACCCTCTGGGCAACCCAGACCTTATCTTAACTCACTCCACCTAATGCCTCCCACAGCCTGTTCACAACACCCTTCAGGGAAAGAGAATAGACTCTTAGGACTGGAGATGAGAATAAAGAAATTACAGTTCACTCAATCCCAGCATCTCACAATTCAATCTTTCAATCCTGATTTGGGATCTGAGAGGAGAAATGAGATGACAAATCCCAAATGTACAGTGACTTGAGGGTGAGTTTGGCATCAGCTCACTCAAAGTTATTTATTCTGCTCCCCAACCTCCCTACCCAGCAAGTTAGAATTCAATCTTATTTTTAAATAAGATAAAATAAATCTTATTTAAAAATAAGATCACGGTGGCTCACACCTGTAATCCCAGCACTTTGGGATGCTGAGGCAGGTGGATCACCTGAGGTCAGGAGTTCAAAATCAGCCTGGGCAACATGGTGAGACCCCATCTCTACTAAAAATACAAAAATTAGCCAGGTGTGGTGGTGTGCACCTATAATCCCAGCTACTGGGGAGGCTGAGACAGGAAGATCACTTGAACCTGCGAGGCAGAGGTTGCAGTGAGCCGAGATCGTGCCACTGCACTCCAGGCTGGATGACAGAGTGAGACTCCATCTCAAAAAAAAAAAAAAAAAAAAAAATTCCAGAAAAAAGTGATGCCACCTGGTTTTTCACTGCTCTGATTAAGAAATTCCTCCTTTGAGGCTGAGCACACTAGCTCACTCCTGTAATCCCAGCACTTTGGGAGGCTAAGGCAGGCAGATGCCTTAAGCCCAGGAGCTGGAGACCAGCCTGGGCAACATGGTGAAACCCCATCTCTACTAAGACAAAAGTTAGCCAGGCGTGGTGGTGCATGTCTGTAGTCTCAGCTACTTGGGAGGCTGAGGCAGGAGGATCGCTTGAGCCTGGGAGGTGGAGGTTGCATGAGTAGAGACCATGCCATTGCCTCAAGCCTGGGCAACAGAGCAAGACTCTGTCTTTAAAAAGAAATAAATTCCTCTTGTGGTTTATCTATAAATTGTAACCCCCTTTTCAGACTTCATTTCCTCTTTTTTGCCCATCCCACCTTCACTGGAGCTAGAAGAAGATGGACCCATAAAGTAGGCCTGTATTTTTATATAAACACTGGACACATTCTTCCTTGGATTTGAACTACCATTTTGTCCTTTTTAAAGTAAAAATAGCTATGGCAATCAAGGCACTCAAATACCTAGGAATAATTTTAACAAGAAGTATGTAAATTCTACATAATGAAAACTAAAATTCTACTGATGGGGTGCCAATGACTTAAATGTATAGGAAGACTCTATATCATACATTCTCCTTTATATAATCTAAAAATATGTGATTCCAGTCAAAATAACAATAACAGAATAGAAAAGTAAATTATGGTTCAATATAGCCCCACAATATTATACTACACAGTAGTCAGAATGAAGGGACTAAAACTATACACAATATGACTGAATCTCACATAAATAATTTGAATAAAGGAAGCCAGACACAAAAGAATACATACTCTGATTCTCTTTACATAAAAAGCAAGGAGAGGCAAAATTAGTTTATGATATCAGGAGTCAGAAGAGTGGTTGTCCTTGAGAAGAGCAGTGACTGCGAGGGAACACACAAGTGGCTTCTGGGGCACTAGTAATATTCTGTTTCTTGATCTGCTGCTGTTTACACAAATGTATTCCATTTGTGAAAATTCATCAAGATATATACTTGTCATTTGTGCATTTTTCTGTATGTATATTGTAAATTAATTTTTTAAATTGTGGTAAAAAAACCATAATGTACACAATTTAAAAAATTTTTAAATGATCAATGGAACAAAATGAGAAAAATCCAGAAACAGACCCAAATACATATGGCAATGTGGTATTATAAAGGTAGCATTCAAAAACAATCGAGAAAACATGGGTTATTCAATAAGAAGGATTTGGAAAAAACAGAACAAAGTTGGATCTCTATCTCACACCTTTACACCAAAATAAATTCCAGGTGAATCAAATATTTACATATACAAAGACACTATCAAAGTACTTTTCAAAAAACATAGGACCTTTAAGAATAATCTTAAGTAGTGGGAGACTTTTCTAAAAATTATATGAAACACAGAAGTTGGCCAGGCACAGTGGCTCACGCCTGTAATCCCAACACTTTGGGAGGCCAAGGCGGGTGGATCACTTGAGGCCAGGAGTTTGAGACCAGTCTGGCCAACATAGCAAAACTCTGAGTCTGCTAGAAATATAAAAATTACCCAGGTGTGGTGGTACACGCCTGTAATCCCAGCTACTGAGGAGGCTGAAGCACAAGAATCTCTTGAACCTAGGAAGCAGAGGTTACAGTGGGCTGAGATCACACCACTGTACCCTGGCCTGGGTAACAGAATGAGACTATGTCTCAAAAAAAGAAAGAAACAAACCCAGAAATTATCAAATAAAATACTGATAAATTCAATTACATAAAAATTTTTAAATTTTGCAGAGAATAATCATAAACAGGCTAAGGGCAGGGGCTCAGGCCTCTAATCCTAGCACTTTGGGAGGCCGAGGCAGGCTGATCACCTGAGGTCGGGAGTTGGAAACCAGCCTGAAAATATACAATATACATAGAACAAACTGGGAAAACGGAAAATACTTGTTATATGTATAAACAATATACATAGAACAAACTGGGAAAAGGGACTTTTTTTTTTTTTGAGAGGGAGTCTCGCTCTGTCACCCAGCTTGGAGTGCAGTGGCAATCTCGGCTCACTGCAACCGCCACCTCCCCAGTTCAAGCGATTTTCCTGCCTCAGCCTCCCAAGTAGCTGGGATTGCAGGCGCTTGCCACCACAACAGGCTAAGTTTTGTGTTTTTAGTAAAGACCTGGTTTCACCATGTTGGCCAGGCTGTTCTCGAACTCCTGACCTCAAGTGATCAGCCTGCCTCAGCCTCCCAAAATGCTGGGATTACAGGTGTGCGCCACCGCACCTGGCCGGGAAAATACTTTTAACTTATATACAAACAGCAAGTATTAAGAAATGACCCTATAACCAATAAAAATATGAACAGAATAGAAAAACAGAATTTACAAAAAAATTGCCATGTAACTATATTAAAAGATGCTCAACTTTACTTATAAGAGCAATGAAATTTTATCTTGCAATGAAATAGCATTTACATGATCAGATTGTCAAAAATCAAGAAGTTTAACAGCACCAGTGTGCTATCAAACAGGTTCTTTTCATACATTGCTGATGGGAGACAAAATTGGTAAAATTTCCAGGGAAGGCAATTTGGTAATACTAACTAAAATCATTTTCAAAAATTGCTGGTGGGATGAAAATTATAAAAATCTTTGTGGGAGGAAGGGAATTTGCAAAATTTTATCTATCCAAATGAAAAAACAATGCACACACTTCTTTAACTTGGCACTTGCATTTCTAAGTATTTATCATACAGATATGCAAGAAGGAAATGAAGTATCCTTGCATATCAATAAAATGTTAAAGGACTGGTTAAATATATCTTCATATGTCCCTCAGGCACACTCCGAAACTATCACTATGAGGCAGATAGGTATATGCTGCTACGGAAAGATTTCCAGACTGTATCAAAGAAAGTTGCAAAATAGTGCGTATGTTATTAACTGGGTTAAACAAAATATATGTGTGTATATATATACACTGTATATATTACACATATACACACATTAACTATAGAATATCTTGTGAAAATTTTCACAAGAGACTGGTAACCCTGGTTGCCTTGAAGGAAACAAGATTTATTCACTATAATAACCTTGTTTTTTCTGAATTTTGTGGAATGTAAATGCAGTACTTATTCAAAACGCATACACATTTTTATATTAATAGAAAGCAAAACCTGAAGCCCAAAGGCATCTCCCTAATTGACAAAAGATACAACCTTGCGTTCTTTCAGCAAACGTTAATTGCTCATCACCTGCCAGGTATTGTGATGGAAGCTAGTGCGGAAGATCCCCCAATGACCAGGAGCACCCGACACCTGTCCCCAGGGTGAGCCCCTAGCGCGGGGCGGGGACAGGGTGGACCGCGTAGGGCGCAGGGTTGGGCTCGCGAGGCTCCCCGCCGTGCGGAGGCGGTAGCAGGACCCAACCGTTCCTAACGGTCCAGGGACCAGGACAGCGTCTGGAATAAAATCTTCCAAAGCAAACTTCCGCCTGCAGAGACCCGCTCCCTTCCTCGCCCCCACAGAAACGCCCCCCGCCACCCCGCAGCGTAGGCCTTCACGCTGTCGCCTCGACTCGTTTCCTCGAATCCCCAGGGAAGGGTGGGCCCCTGGCGCCCCTACGGTCCCCTGCCCCCTTACCACTGCGGTCGGAGCTCGGGTCTCACTCTCCTGCCGCTGTTTCGGGCCACACCTTGTGTCCGTGCCTCCGCAGAGGAATAGAAGAGTGGGTCCTCGCTCTCTGCGGCGCACCGCTTGTCCCTTCACCTCCTCTCCATCTACAAAGCTTATTTCATGTTTTCCAAAAAGAAAACGTTTTCTGTGTCTCTTGAGTACTCGTCGCCATACGCGGAGCCAGACTGATCTACGCAAAATATCGCAAGAGAAACAACTAATAGAGCATCGCCCATCATAAGGCTGCTCTCCCGATGGTCACTGAGTTGTGTTGTGGCACTGTCTTTGTACAAAGACACCAATTTTGTGCGAACGGTGACACGCATGATTCAACGCTCTCACGCCTAGGTCCCAGCAGCATGAGCGCCGATTTTCCCCCGAGGGTTAGAAGATAGAAAACTCCTCGGTAATTGGCCTTAGAGGTGGTCTGCGAGGTCTCCGGGAAGCTTGTAATTGGCTGTTTAATTCTCAGCAGGTGCGGTCTCAATTAACAACATCTGCTTTTCCTGGAGCTTATTGGCTGACAGGGTGGGCCTGCTTTGGATTCCATCCGGGTAATTGGGCAGTGGCTAGCAGCAGCCACGTCGCTCAGGGGCAGCCCGCGGAAGGATTGGTTGTTACGGAAGAAGGCGATTGGTCGGACTGCGAGCAGGGTGTTGACTGGTGCTAGCGGGCTGCGGGGGCGGGGAAGTGGCGGCTGAAGCGCCGCAGGCGGGCCTCCCAGTCGCCGTGTGAGTGGGAGGCGGCGGCGGCTGTGGCTGCAGCTGGGGTGAGGCGCGAGGCGGCGCGCTCGACGGCTGACTGGAGCAGCGGTAAAGGCGGGGATGGAGAGCGAAGGTTTGGGGAGTGGGAAAGACTGGGTCATGGGCAGCCCTGGCCACTAGGAGACGGAAATGCGGGATCGAGGGAAGGGAGGGTTATGGCGTGCTTCGGGGCGAGGGAAGGATGTGGGGCGCAGGGGCGGGAGTCAGAGCCCTGGGCTGTGAGACGCCGCTCGGGGGCAACTTGACCCACTGGGAACTCGTAACTATATCTGAGGAAAATGCTCCGGTCACACGCTTAGGCCACAACGGACCCGGTGCAGGAGCGTTTGTGTTTGCCCTGAGTCAGTTCACACTCGTCCACTGGGCCTTTTTGAGACGGAGAGCTGCCATCCATGTATCACTTTGCCTTTAACTTTCCCCAGCTTTTTCTTTAGTTATCGCTAATAGGATGGCTGTTGACAGTTGTCAGAATAATACTTTGGGGTTTTTGTTTTTCCAGTATCCCTCCTTATTCTTTAATGCAGGTGTCATCGTGGGGGTTGGCTGGAGACCCCCATTAGAAAGATTGACTTTTAGACCCTTTCCTTGTTTTGAGAGAAAGGGGTTGACGCTTTTTTTTTTCTCCTGAGTTTAAAATAAAACGTACCAAGGATGAGAACATTGAGCTGCTTCGATTCAAGCATGTCACCATGTTGTAGGTCCTTGGTAGGTTCTGGTTATTAGGAGATACTGGAATGAGTTATCTATGCTTTCATGAAGCTAACAATGTGATTTGACTCCTGATCACATCCTATTTGACTCCTGTCATTTTAAATGATAAAGTAAGCCTTAGCAATGCATATCAGATAGTTGTTGGCAATTGTTCAATACAAATGTCAGGAAATTTCAAAGTTAGCTTTTACTGAAAACCGTTATCTAACCACATACCTCACTCAGCAATGATCCTCATCTCCTCTTCTTAGCTTCCCCTAGGAACTGTGGTCTTAAGTTCTAGTCTCTTCCTCCTTCCCATTCAATTTTTAAGTAATAAAATCAAACACAAACTAGCAGTCAGTACTGCGCAGTTATCCCCGTTTACATTATATTATTTTCCATTTCTCTTTAAGAGAAACCTACAACTGAAAGGATATGAAAATTGTGAACAAAACCATAGTGACAGATCAAGTAAATTCTCATTTTTGAGACATCAGCTGATAACTAGCACAAATTCATTTGTAATGTCTGAAGAGGAGTTAGTGAAATTTACCTTTTGCTTCAAATAGAAGTCGGCCAAAAAAAGCCACGTCTATAATCTCAGCTACGCCCGATGATTGTGGGAGTTCAAGGCTGCAGTGAGCTATGATCATTCACTGCATTCCAACCTGGGTGACAGACCAAGGCTCTGTCTCTATCCAAACAACAACAAACTCTCCAATTCGTCTACTTTCCATCTCCATCAGAGACTAGTCCCTGATTGGTCTCCTGAAGCTACCGTTGCTGCCTTCAATTCATTCTCCTCACCACGGACACAGATGTTAATCAAGAATGACAAGCATGGCATGTGTGAATGAAGGCGTATTGGGGATCCTGTGGAAGCCCATAGCAATGTAACTCAACCCAGTGTAGGGGATCGAGATTGTGGGGCCTTGGCTGCAGAAGCCCCTCGGCACTTGATAGTGTCAGAACTGGAAAACAAAAGTTCTGCTAATCCTTTGGGCCTCTGTAAAGAGGTGTGATTATGACTGGCCATCAAAACAGACTTATTTCCCTTGCACACTGTATTGTGTAGAAATGACTAATTAGCGGTGTGACCTTAGATCAATACTTTTCTATCCCTGAGCCTCAGTTTCCCAAGTTGAACATTATTAATGGAATCAAATAAGTTCTGTAGTCCCTTCTAGTTATAAAATCTTTTGATTTCTATGCCCCATAAGCATGAATTATGGCCAGAAAGATGTTTTTAGAAGCAAACAGCATGAAAATACAGATCAAGTTCATTCTTGTTCATAGGGCTAGATTTCAGTTTCCCAAAGCCTTTAAGACCTAAAGACTCCTGCCCGTCAGGATCTTCCATGCCAGACAAGAAACTCCATGAAGGCAGCTGCTAAGTCTGTCTTGACTGTTGTGTCCCCAGTGCCAAGCACACATCAGAACTCGATACTTATTGGCTTGAATAAATGTCCATTTACTGCAGTTCATTCATGTAGTATTGGTTTGCAGAAGGAAAATGAGTTGTATTGTAATGAGATGATTTTCAGCTATGCACCATCTAAGAAATAAACCTTAAGGTTCTAGCTCCTTTCAGCTGTCACATTGACCAAGAATTTATACAGTCGTCTCTCCCTTCATTAGCTGCAGGGGATTGGTTCCAGGAACCCCACAGAACCCAAATCCATAGATTCTCATGTCCCTTGTATAAGATGCATAGTATTTGTATATAACATACACACATCTTGCCCTAGACTTTTTTTTTTTTTTAACCCCTTCAGGCAAATTCTCACTCTGTTGCCCAGGGTGGAGTGCAGTGGTGTGATCAGTTTACTGCAGCGTCCACCTCCTGGGCTCAAGCCATCCTCCCACCTTGGCCTCCTGAGTAGCTGGGACTACAGGTGTGCACCACCACGCCCAGCTAGTCCTTGGGGCCTCTGTTAATTTTTTTTTTTTTTTTCTGTAGAAACAGAGTCTCACTGTGTTGCCCAGGCTAGTCTTGAATACTCGATCTCAAGCAGTCCTCCCACCTCAGCCTCTCAAAGTGCTGGGATTAACAGGCAAGAGCCACTGTACCCAGCCTGTTTTGGTGTTTGTTTTCTAGACTATGAAGGTTTCCAAGTAGAAATTCTTCTTCCTCCTTCTGTCCCCAACATGCTCAGCGCATAAGAAGGAGGTAGCACTATTTAACCAAGACGCATTAATAATGGAGACAAGCTAGGAACTTGAGTGGTCATATAAGAAAATATCTAAGTGGGCACGGTGGCTCACGCCTTGTAATCCCAGCACTTTGGGAGACCGAGGCAGGGGGATCACGAAGTCAGCAGTTTGAGACCATCCTGGCCAGTATGGTGAAACCCTGTTTCTACTAAAAATACAAAAATTAGGCAGGCGTGGTCGCGGGTGCCTGTAGTCCCAGCTACTCATTAGGCTGAAGGAGAAGAATCCCTTGAACCCGGGAGGTGGAGGTTGCAGTTAGCTGAAATCGTGCCACTGGACTCCAACCTGGGCAACAGAGCGAGACTCTGTCTCAAAGAAAAAAGAAAATATCTGAAGTAATCAGGGGACAAAAGAAGTCAAATCCTTTCTGGAATAAACCAAGAATAAACCATCTCAATGTAGGAAAATAGGAGTTTGGGAAGTATGTATTCAAGAATTACTTAAGCCAAAAATCTCCTTTATGAAACAATTTGTTGCCTTTGGTATATACAAAGATGCTTATATAATACCATCCAAATTTTCAGGGTGGTGAAGGGTTTTATTTGCAGCCTATTTAAAAAAAGAGAAGCTAATGTTTATCCAATGAGTTGGAGAAAGAACCTCATAAATGAAAGCAAACAGCCTACATTAAACTCAACCCTTTCTGTGCTACATTCTAGAAAGGTCAGGAAGAGAACAGTATTCCCTCAGATTGATAGTCTCTAAAAATGATATACTGAATTTACCGAGTAATGACCCAAAGTAGACAACGCACTTGAAAAGAGGTACCCATCCCCCACCCATTAGTAAAAGGCGGTTTTATTTTTTGCTCAGGCTGCGAGTCCGGGCAAGAAGGTGGATTAAATTTGGTTAAAACCAGAATATAGAAAAAATAGATTTGGCAAACTTCTGGTAGTTCTCTGAAGAACTTTATTCAGTTCTATTGATCAGTAAAACTCTGAGGCTAGATGCAAATTCTGGTCATCTGTATGACAGTGTAGTAGTCTCCCCTTCTCCGTGGTTTTGCTTTCACTTACCCGTAGTCAATCCTGGTCCAAAAAGATTAAATGGGAAGTTCCATAAATAAACAGTTCTTTTTTTTTTTTTTTTAGTAGAGACGGGGTTTCACCGTGTTAGCCAGGATGGTCTCGATCTCCTGACCTCGTGATCCACCCGTCTCGGCCTCCCAAAGTGCTGAGATTACAGGCTTGGGCCACCGCGCCTGGCATAAACAATTCTTAAGTTTTAAATTGTGCACCATTCTGACTAGCATGGTGAAATCTCCATCCTGATCCAGATGAGAATCCTGCCTTTGTCCAGCATATCCATGCTGTATATGCTGCCCGCCTCTTAGTCACTTAGTAGCCATCTTGGTTGTCACATTGAAAAAACCTATAGTTTTCAGTACTCCAAGGCATCCACTGGGGTTCTTGGAACATATTTCTCGAGGATAAGAGAGGATGACTGTTGTAAGAAACCTACCTCCAGCCTCCCTTACCTGACTCTATCTGCTCCTCAGTGAGATTTCGGTGCTAGATGTTCTCCTTTCTCTCTTCACTCCTCCTGATTGGCTGTGCTTTCCCTGAAAGCCTAAGTTTTATTCCACAGTAGGTTTTGTATTAGTGAGTATGTTTTTAGCCTTACCAGGATAAAGCCAGTTTTTCCCCCCAAGGTGAAATACATTTTTGTTTATTATAATTATTTGGGTTGAATTTTTGTACCTGGAGGCAAATTATAGCGAAGTTACATTTACTCATTTTTAAGCAAATCTCATTTAAAGCCAGCTTGCTTTATTCTACTTGATCATAATATCTAGAAATACAGATATTTAGTTTTCAGTTTTTTATTACCTATCTTTAGTTTTTTTAGTCTTCAGTGTTTTTTTAACCACCTACAATACTTTCTGTCAGTATTAATTTTGAATTGGATATGTTAATCAAAATAAAGAATAAAAATACAGGTGCTGTTACCCTGAGAGTTTAGGTAAAAAGAAGGGTGGGGAAGGATTTCTAAAATCACTTTACAAGGTTTTTTACACGCAAATAATAACCCAGACTCTGGGTTAGAGATTAGATAACCTCTTCAAGCGTGTGTACTCTTCTATAGGATTAATATTTCCTACTTTACAGGGTTATATGACTATTAAATAAAATTATGTAATGTGCCTGGCATAGTAGCTACTCAACACATTTATCTTTTCATTTTTGTGTCTTTAGTGCCACAATAGCATCTAGCACATAGTACTTACTCCAGCTCTTGTGCTGAGAATAAACTGAATGGACAATGGCAAATGCAGGAACGTCATTAGGCAATGCAGTAATCTAGGGAAAAGATAGTATTTTAGAGCAGGGTCATAGAACTGCAAAGAGAAAAAGTGGTCAGATTCTGGATAATTTGAAGGTAGAGCAAATAAGATTTGTTGACAGGCTAAGTGTGCAGTGTGAGAGAGAGGATGACGAAGTAAGAGAATGCAGTCGAGGCGGAGCACAGTGGCTCACCCCTGTAATCTCAGCACTTTGGAAGGCTGAGGTTGGTGGATCACCTGAGCCCAAGAGTTCAAGACCAGCCTGGGCAACATGGTGAAACTCTCTCTCTACAACAAATACAAAAATTAGCCAGGCGTGGTGGCATGCACCTGTAGTCTTAGCTACTGGGAGGCTGAGAGGTGGGAGGATTGCTTGAGCCCAGAGGTTGTGGCTGCAGTGAGCCATAGTTGCACCACTGCATTCCAGCCTGGCAACAGAGAAAGACCCTGTCTCAAAAGAAAAAAAAAAGGAATTGCCATTTGCTGAGATGGCAAAGATTATGGCAAGGGGGTGAATCGGGAGCTCAGTGTTAAGTTGAGATGTATATTAAACATCAAATGGAGATCCATGTAGGCAGTTGAGAAGGGTCCTACATGGATCTATTAATTTGGAAGTTATCAGCATATAGATAGGAGTTAACGCCAGTCTGTGAATGAGACTTGAGATCACCAAGGAAGTGAGGTAGAACAGAGAAGAGGGCAAAGGACAGATCCCCGAGGCACTCCAGTGTTTAGAGGATAGAAAAATGCGAAGAAATCAGCAACTGGAAGACTGATGGAATAGCCAGAAAGGAAAGAGGAAAACCAGGAGGGTGTGCTATGGAGAAAGTGTTTCAGAGAAGAGGGAATCACCAGCTGTGCCAAATACTGTGGGGACATCTGGTGAGATGAGAACTGAGAATCAGTCTTTGGATTGAGCAATGTGAAATCATTGGTGACCCTGATGTGAGCAGTTAGAGTGGATTTAAGAAGAGAACTTGAGGACAGATATATTGACACTCAAGTTTTCCTTTAAAAGGAAGAAAAGAAATGGGAAGTAGTTGAAGTGAAATCCAGGGTTTTCTTTAAGAACGGAGAATGTTTGTCTGCTGATGGGACTGTCTAGTAGAGGGGAAAGAAAATGTTAATAATGCAGGAGAAGCAAGGAGAACTTGTGGAGCAGTGCTTTTATGAAAGACTTCAGTGCTAGGAGCAGAGACAGTTCATCTGTGGTCACAGGAGAAAACAGCAAGCATTTAGGCACAGGTGGAGGTAGGTGGGAAAATGTGTAGAAGCTTGTGGATATTTTCTCTGAATGCTCTACTTTCTCAGTGAAATAGAAAGCAAGGACCTCAGTTGAGAAAGGTTAGAGGAGGCAGCATGAGAGGTTTGAGTGGAGAGGGAGGCTGAGAAACTATGTGGAATAAGGAAATATAATGAGGAACACATTAAAGTTTGCTTGGCAGCAAAATGAAGATACAGTGTCAGAGAGAAACTCAGTACGAAAGCCTGTAAGAAGGCCATTACAGTGGTCTAAATAAGATTTGGGCTTCTCAATCAGGCCAGATGCAGCATTGTTGATGTTATTAACATATAGGTAGTAATTGAACCCACATATGTGGATGAAATGGTCTAAAGAGAGCAGAGTGACATTAACAATTGATGGCACAGGATGAGAAGCCCAGACTTGGAAGGACCCTCCAGGGAAATAAAAGGAAACCAACAGAAAGAGGGCACAGAAACCAAGGAAAGAGTTTTGTGGAAGGAGTGGCCACCTTCCTGCTACTGCAGAGAGATGGATGAGATAAGGCTCCATGCATGCCCTCTGGGTTGATTATCTGGGAAGTTACAGTTTTGGTGATGGAGTAGGGAAGAACCCCATTTCACTGTTCATTAAGAAGTAAATAAATAGAAACCAAAAGTAGAGACAGTAAATGAAGACTGTACTTCCAACAAAGGTAAATAGTAAGGCCTTTACTAAGCCTGGAATGGTATTACTTAGAGGCAGCAGCTTCTGGAAACCCCTGGAGGCATAAAAGGACTTAGATAAGTAATTTTAAATAATTTAATATGAAATCTAAGTATATATATTTTAAATATTTGATTCATTTTTTTTTTGGTTTGTCTTTTAAAACTGATCAGTTCTCCTTGGGTGGGGAAAGTGAAGTATGCTTCTATTTAATTCTATGTGTACCTTAGCTAACTTTAAAAATATACCCTGAGCCCTTTTTATATGAAATAAATTTTGAAATTGCTGAAGCTCTTGAAATTGGAAGGTAGGCAATAGTATTCTTTTCAATAATAATGTGCTCCCATGCCTCTCTGCTATTCATACAAGTATTGGATGAAAGCTCCCTCTTTTCCCTGCTTTGCTTGTTTCAGGATGTAAGTCAGAGTACAGCAGAAAATGTCCACTGAACGAACTTCTTGGACAAGCCTGTCCACCATTCAGAAAATAGCCCTGGGCCTTGGGATCCCAGCCAGTGCAACAATTGCCTATATCCTATACCGCAGGTATAGGGAAAGCAGAGGTATGTGAACCCTATGACTGTACATGTGAAAATGTTCAGACATGCTCCTGCCTTGTTAAATTGAAAAAAAACTCTTTCCTTGCCAGGTATTGTGTGGGTTTTTTGTGGGGTTTCTGTCACCTAGCTTGGAGTACAGTGGCACAATCTTGGCTCACTGCAGTGTCGACCTCCTGGGTTCAAGCAGTCCTCCCACCTCAGCCTCCAAGTAGCTGGGACCACAGGCGTGTACCGCACACCTGTATTTTTTGTAGAGATGGGGTTTTGCCATGTTGCCCAGGCTGGTCTTGAACTCCTGAGCTCAAGCAACCTGCCCACCTCGGCCTCCCAAAGTGCTAGGATTATAGGCATGTGCCTCCATGCCTGACTCAGGTATTGTGATTGGCTTTCTGTGAGGAATCTTTGACTAAAATTATTTAGTCTTTTTTTTTTTTTTT